TAGCACAGGGCTGTTACGACATCAGTCATGGTGGGTTCATTGATTGAAGCATAGCTGTTTTGCACAGATTATGAAAGCTGCATCTACTTGATGCCAACACAACATGGAGGAGAGCGGGAATTCTGTTACCGGTCTTGGCAATTTTTGATGTCTACATGACTGATGTGGGAGATTTGTTTTCATTTGTTGATTAAAGGGCAGTGGTGGTGATAACCTAGTTGGGATCCAAAGGAATTGTTCTCAAAACAGATATATCTAGGCTCCAGAAACATGATGATGTATAGAAACCCTTCTACAGGTGATCACAGAGGAGCCAAAAGAGTGAGGAATCAAAATATGGGTCAGGGATCAAGGTAACATGCTATCTCCATCTTATAGGGTCATGTTTTTCCATTTTGGATCAGGAATTATAGATCAACCTTTACCTTTCCTTTTTTATACTTCTTGAGTCTTACATGCTATGCCTGCAAACATGCACTAGGTATTGATTTCAGCAGGCGGTGGAAAGAACATACAAAGAAAAAAACCCAGATGAATGGAATATTTCTACAAATCTTTCTATTCTGAGAAATCTGTTGTATTATTTTTGTATAGTCATCCCAGCATGATGGAAAAAAATGGGAAGGAGAAATAATACTATGTGCTAAAAAATATGGATTCTAGTTCTAGCTCAGCCATGAAGGGTTGTGACCTATTCACAATCCTATTTCTCAGCCTCAGTTTCCTCATCCGTAAAACAGGAGATGGGCAAGACAATGATGAAATTTCATTCTGGAAACACCACTGTATTTATGCTTCTAGAATTCTCTGTATTATTTATAGACTCTATAGCTATCTTCTCATTTGACCCTCACAATAAACCTATAGGGTAGGTCTGGCAGGGTTATTATTATCCCCATCAAACAGATGTGCGTGTTGAAGGTAAGGAATTTTGGGATCTCTGTATTATTTATAGACTCTATAGCTATCTTCTCATTTGACCCTCACAATAAACCTATAGGGTAGGGCTGGCAGGGTTATTATTATCCCCATCAAACAGATGTGCGTGTTGAAGGTAAGGAATTTTGGGTGCTTGCCACAAGGTTTCACTAAAAGTGAAACTCTTCCTCCTAAAGCACAATAAATTCCTTCTTAGCAGGAGGCCTGTGGATGTTGGTGTATTGACAAATGTGGGCTTCTGTCTGTTAGGGTTCTCTGATGTTTGAGTATAAAAGTGCAATTATTGGGTGGACTTATGATTTTCCTAGGTTTATGTTACTGGTCTGTTTTTTGATGATTGCTTTTGTCTGATGGATGTTCCATGCTGTGGTATAATTTACACTAAATGCATTAACTAGGCAATCATAAATAGGAAGGAAAAGAGGTGGTGAGTAAGGAGAGATGGACAGGTAAAGGGGAGAAAACTAAGCACTAAATAGCCAGGCACTAATCTATGTACTCTACAAGTATTAACTCATCTGGTCCTCACATTAATCCTATGAAGATTGCTATCATCATGCCCATTTTACAGATATTGAAATCGAGGCCTAGAGAAGTTAAATAACTTGCCTAAGTTAGTAAGGGTCAGAGCCAGAATGTGAAACCAGGCTACCTGATTTCAGAGTTTGTGCCCTAACCACTCTCCTGTCAAGGTCAGATAGAGTAGCCATAAGCCTTTGTGAGCTCTGGTATAAAGTAAGATTTAAAAAAAAAAAAAAAAGCCCACTCAAAGCCATTAAGGTTGCAGGAAGTTGGCATACAATATACCGCTGGCATACAATATACAATATACTGACAGTGAATTTCATCTTTTTATAAAGCAATATGTGGCAAGAGCCACAAGTTTTCTATACTTGTCGATTTAGGAATGCTAATCCTAGAAGTTTATTCTAAGCTTATAGTTCAACAAAAGCAAAAAACCCTATGCATGAAGAAGTTTATTGTATGATCTGTTATAATGGAAAACTAGGAGCAAATTAAGTGCCCTAGGATATGGTGTGATAAGCAATTTTATAATACATCCACCTGTTGGAATACTACGAACACATTTAAAATGATAATTACAAGGACTACATAAAAAGACAGAAAAATGTTTCTGATAAAATGTAAAGTTTAAAAAGCAAGATAAAGACTATGTAGATTATGATGACAACTCTGATGTATATGCATACTAGCAAAGCTTGAAGTAGAACAGGAAAAAATTCTAGTGGTTAAGTGTTTGTTAAAGTCTTTATATTTTTTTCAGATTTTTATTAGTGGCAGCATCATGTTTCTTTAACAGATCACGATGAAGGAAAGAGCGGGTGGCAGAAGTGGGTTGAAATGATGGTCCAGGGTGTGGCTTGGGACTGTTGGTAGGTTTCCCTCTGTCTGCCTTCATCCCTGGATTTTTTGGGGACAGCCAGAGGAATTTAGGGTGAGGAAAGGGGCTCAGGTCTGAGGGATCATGTGCTTGTGTGAGAGAGAAAGATGTGCACTGGGGTCCGGCCCTGCCACTGTCACTGAAATACAGTCTTCATAAAGCCGGGCTATGGCTTTCCCTTTGCCGTCTTCTCCCATTCTTCATTCTTCAAGTTTCAGAAGTCTTAGAAGTCACTTTCCTGTAGTCAACTCCAGCTGTCCCCCCACCCCCCACTCACTGGGCTGGGTGTCCCTCCGAGGTGTCCCTCTTCCCCAGCACCTTTGCTGCACCCATCTCTGCACCTAGCAGGCTCTGTGGTGATGGCCTGTTTCCATTTCTGAAGCCCCCTCTGGGCTGCAAGGGTTGGGATCTCAGGTGGATCTGG